AAGGAAAGAGGTAGTGAAATCAAAGGGGGAGAGTGCAGGACCTGGAAGAAGACTTCCAGCTGTGTGGACAGAAAGGAAACGCAAGGAGGAAGAGGCCATAGGATCTGTAACTAGCAGAACTCAGTAAAAGCACTGAAACTGAAGAGGAGAGATTATGGACCCCCACATGCAGAGAGAAGAAGTGCTGAACACCACTACACTGCCTGTTGAGAAAGGAAGTCTCAAGCTGCAGCTGTAATTGCCTTAAGCCAAGAGACTGACAAACCAGGAACCTCTGCAAGCAGAGTTACTGAATAATGAAAAACAGGAGGTTATTGCCAGAAAATGGATGTGATGAAAGCACCTGAGGTGATTTGGCCTTAAATTTGGTTTGGAAAAGTTCACTGGAGCCATATTACTTAGTCAAAGTATTCTCAAGATAATTAGCCAATTTATTCCTGTTACAGAGCCTAGTCCATTGCCCCCTTCTCCTCCTTTTCAGCAAGGATTTGTTGATCTTTTCGTATTAATCCTCTTTGATCTTCTGAGAACCTAGGTAGCTTGGTAAACAGTCTCACTCCCTTGCAGCCCCTGAGTTTTTCAGCTCCTTGTATCCTGGACGTGGGCAGTGGTGCAACACTTCATTACAAGTCTTTTTCTGTTTGTCTCTCTTGTCCTTCTTGTTGTTGTTGTTTTTGGTTTGTTTGTTTGTTGGGGTTTTTTGGTGCAAGGTCCATCTGAAGAAACTTTGCCTTGTATCATGCAGCCTTACTATTCTTGCTTTTTGCAGAACCTTTCCCACCAGCCTGTAGTGGGTTTTTCCAACCACATTGCCATTGGTCAAGATGCAGTTTGTGGCACTGGTTTTGTCTGTGCTCAGCCCCATGGCCCATCAGCAGCTGGTCTCGGTGCAGTTACTCTAGAAACGATCACCTACTGGTCTAAGTGGACTGTTCAAGCCCACTTTGAGCTCAGCACCGGCTTTCTTCACAAGCAGAAGGGATTTTTTGCAGCCTGCTGCCCACAAGCATCATGTCAGCAGCTCTAGAAATGCAACCGAGGCAGCTCCAGTTCACATACAGCCTGCACTGAGCTCTGACAAACTCCACACCGCTGTGGCCTTGGGCTGGATGCGCAAACAGGGCAGGAGCAGGGGGAGTGCAGGACAGTTTGTAACAGTGCTGACGGGTCTCTGTGCAGGATTGCCACATACTTGCACCTGCCTCAGTGCTTAGTGCCAAGCAAAACAGCCACAGCAAGGACACAGGGGTTGGGGAAGTGGGATGGAAAGTAAACTGAAGCACCAGTGGCCTCAATCTCCATGCAGGGTTGTGGGAGTGCCACCCAGACTGAGAGGCTAACCGCAGCTCTCAGCTGCCATCACATATCACAGCTGTCCTGTGGGCTCTGCGACCCAGATTTTGCCTACAGGGCAGCAACATCATTACTGGATTGAGCAAGCTCAGCTGCTGCTTTGGGGAAATGGGTGTGATCCATCATAGAAAATCTTTAACTTCCTCTTCCTATAAAATTCATCATCAACAGGAAATCCAGGCTTTGCATGAGACTTCAGAAATTCTTTTCCAGGAAGATGTCAGAACCAAATTAATTATCTGCTAACCACAGATGTATGAGCCTTCCACAAGGAGTGCTTTATTACAAAATAAAATATGACTAGATAATGTTTTCACTGTGTTCCCATTAGACATGGAGATGCACCTGTGATTTTGCAGAAACCATGGGGAAGAACGGGCTTCACTGGCCTTCTGGAATTCAGGCACAGCAAATAGTTCATATGTACATGTCTCTGTTCACACACAAAACTTTTGGCATGGTATGGGTGGCAAGTTTCAACTAGAGCCTTTGTGGTTAACAAAACCTCATTTGCTTCTGTGGAAAACCAAGTCCCCAGGCAGAGCTATTAGTTTAATATAAGATTATTAGATGTGGGTTGATCTGGGTTTTTTTTCTTCCCTCCAGCTGGTTCTTTACTACAGACTCTCTTTCACTAACCCAGGTGGTTTTGGGTAGCCAGGACTAAGTGCCATGCCAGAATTTATGAGGTACAGCCCATTCTCAATGTGTTGTCTGCTGTCCATTACTCTTGGCAGGAATTTCTGATGTGCAAACATTCCTTAGGGGACTTGTTGACATCGGCTGCAGAATGTCACTATTTCTGGAAACCTTCAAGCAGCCCATTATTATCAGGTGGTCATGTTTTCCTAGGACAAACAAGTCTGTTCAGACTTTGTCCTGTGGAATTTCAGGTTGTTTGTACTGTAATCAGAGGTCCTATCTGCTGGACATTTCTGTCCTCTAGCATGTTCTGGCCACACCTAACTCCATTCCTAATTACAGCCTGACTAGAACTCAGGAGTCATCCTTTCTAACCCCCTTCTAGAATTTTTTGACCTTACATGAAAGTTTAGCATTAGTGTTTGAAAATACCCAGTTAACTTTCAGTATTCATTATAGGACATCTCAGGTCATTTTATCCCTGTTTTCATCCCAGTTATCTCACACGGCTGGCAGACACGTTGTCTTCACGTTCATGTGCGTGACATGACAAAGGAGCAACAAATAATTCTGTTGTGGATCAGCAAGTGGAACATGTGCAATGGCTGTACAACCCTGATGCAACTTTATCTGGGACACAGAACTGAAAGCAGAGACTAAATCTTTATAGAAATCCAAGTGCTTATACACCAGCACCTCTAATTATGTGGCATAACCTTAGAGGTTTCTTCAGATATTGGACCTAGAATAATAAGTAAATTCATAACTAAATCCAGGCATTTTCTATGTCTGTTGCTTAGATCTTTAATCACCTTTTGGAAACATTCTTTTGAGAAATGACATAACAGTCAAAATGCTGTAGCCTTATTTTGGTTTGCACCCCTCTCACCATTCATTAAATAAGCTAGGGATACTGTGAGCAAATCCTGTCAACAGATGTGTTTCTGTGGTCTCACAAGAGTACTAAACAGCATTAGTCTCTGATCTCTTTGTCCATGGTAGACTGCATTTCAAGGTATCCAGTGTGCTGTAAAACGTTAATTTCTGCTCAATCTGGCAGGCAGGCAATCAGGTATTTGTGATACTTCAGTCTCTCAAAAGTTGTTTGAATCTGTCCCTCTCCTCCTCCTTTTCAGTCTACACTTGTTAAACGTCCATTTTGGTTTACTAGCTGCTGTTAACATTCTACTGGTCATTTAATCCCAAATGCTCACCTATGACTTCAGGCTTTCTTATGTACATCACCCTTTTTCCAAACAGCTCTGAAGCAGTTTGGCACATGTGGTTGGTGAAGGCTCACCTGAGTGTGAGTCTGACTTAACCAGGTTACGAACATGTGCCAAGCCGGAACAAGAATGTCACTACAGAAGGCTACTACAAACTCACGCTGCATTTTAGCAGCAATTTCAAGCAGATGCACTAAGTAAGCTATTTTTTTAAACAACTGCTTATTTTTGTTTCTCCAACAATAGCAGCTTTTCCTTTTTTTTTGTTCCCTCAAGCTCTTGGGCTTCTCAGCCCTCATGTTTGAATATGCAGAGCACTAAGATCAGGATCCCACTTTGCCTTAGCAGCCTCAGAGGCTTTAACAGATTAATTTTTCCATCCCAGCCGAAACCAGCACACAAAATAAAGAGGTTCAATAGATCCTCCCTGCCGAATGGCACTTAATAACTGGGCATAAGTGCACCTGCAGCAATTCAGAACAAGAAGAGGAGTTACCCCTCTCTAGCTAACATTGTGCCAGCCAGCAGGCAGCTTCCATTCTGCTACCCTCATCACAGTGTAGGGGTCCTTGGCAAAGCAGGGAGTACACTTCCAGCCATGTATATAGTCAGGAAGATGTAGAAGGAAAAAGAGGGTCTCTGCTGTGCACTCAGTGTTCATGAAGAGAGGTGTAGCCAAAATGATCTAGAAGCATTAGAAACCCCAACACCCACTACTGAATTTAGGGGTCCTACGAAGAAGAGCAGTGGGATTGTGGCTGACATTTTGTTAATACCAGTCTTCAGCATGAGCCAGGCCCAGTTTAGCTCAGGCAGCATTCAGTCAGCTCCAACTTACTGCCAGACAGTTCTGTTCACAACTTGTTAGCCTGAACAGCCACATCATGTAAGATAGAAGCTTCTTTCTCCTGTTCCCCAGCTATACTATCATACATTCCTGGGTTTATCCCACTAAATATGAGGGAAGGGGGTGTCCAGGTTGTTGAAGCTGTATCACTTACACCAGCTGTCTTACCAGGGAAACCAACAAGCTTGCATGTGAAGGATACTGAAAACTTAGGAAAGATGTGGGAGAATGAATAGATTTCTGCCAGACAGCCTGGTTGAACTAAAAAGGGGAAACAATAGTAGAAGTTCCCTATTACCCTGCATATCCAAAACTCCTCAAACAGGAAAGCCTGGCAGCAAGGCAGACCTCAACACCCTATGGATGCACATGCACTGAAGCCAAGAAAATGTGCTTTCTCTGTTTTATAGAGCTGCATGAAAATACTTATCTCCTTTCACCAAGGTCAAGTCAAAAGAAGCTGTTTCTTTTTTCACTCTTACACTACTGTAGTGCTCAGAGAAGTCTTTATTCATCCTTGTTTATTTTTTAGAAAATCTCTACAGATCTAGGTGTTTCAAATGAAGCATTAATTACATGGAATATGTGCCCTCAAAGTCCAGAAGTTACTGGATATACTGCAAAGGTGGACTGGTGTCAAGAGTGACCCAGTGACCTCTGCAGGAGATGCTGGTATGGCTGTGAGGCACTGGTGGGGCAGCAGCAATCATGATCCAACCTTCTCAACATAATTAGCAGGATAGAGTCCAACTTGGCCAGTGAGAAGTCGACCCTTGCACCAGCCCTGCTCATCTTCCTCACTAATCTTCATTAATTCTTCACCTAAAAGCAAAAACAGTGATTAGGAAGCAGCCTTGAGAAGGGCAGCATGGCATTTTCACCCACCTCAGAAGACTTGATAAAAGGCAAGACCTATTGGTCTGAATCACCACTTTTCTCCCCCTGTCAACACTGTCATACTGCCCAGTTTAATCAAAGCCAGGGTTACTGAGCTCTGTGTTCAGTACCATCCCCTAGGCTAAGGAAGTTAAACAGACCTTCACTTCTGCTATTCAACATCAGAAATAGTTTTGTGCTCTATAGTTCTGCCTGTTTTCCTCCCCCCAAGGAACACGTTTACAAGCCAGAGTGATCAGAAGGCTCTCAGAGATTTCTCTTCCTTAGTGGCTCCTTTGGTAAGCAAGTGGAAAGGAAATGAAAGAAGCTGCTAAGCTCTGGCTGTTAGGACCCAAAATGCCTGTTCCATGACAGAGTGTCTTGTTTGGCCAGCATGGAATCAATCAGTCTATGACCAGGAAAGGCCTTCCCACATCTACTTTGGGAATGGGCAGAAATGCCCCCTTCACTAGTAAAAGGTTACACTTCTGTCAGAGAGGGAGATCTGACTGTGTCAACAGGCACATCCCACACTGGCAGAGGCTCAGAAAGTCACTGCTGTTAAGTTGAAGCCTTACTGGTGTGTGTTGCTCAGAGCAGATTCAAAAGAGAGATGACTGAAGCTATCCAGTCATACCCCATTGCATCTGCTGGGTGGAAAGAGAAAGGAGAGTCAAGTTCTAGAGCACCCATACCTTAAGATTTTGAAACAACAAGTTAGTGTTAGGAAATTTAGTAGCATGGTAACACTGCAGCATAGATACTGGCCTCAGACATAAGCCCCTGCTACCAAAGGACTTTGGTGCCTTTTAAAAACAGGTGTATTTTGGAGAGGTGCAGCACAAACATACTATGTAAGACTCAAAACAAGTGAGATGAGAGACACTCTTCAGACTCAGATGTCCTCTTGAAATTAAGAGGAGGGCACAGGCAAACTAAATTTATCTGAAGGAAGAAAAGGGGAAGGGTCTGTTTGCTCCAGCACTCAATCCTCTGCTGTGAGCCAGGACCTCCACTCTCAAGATATCCATTTTCAATAACAGTTTGCAGCTGGTTTTTGCCAGTTGAACTCTGCCTTTAGGAGTGCATATCAACCAGCTGAGCTTGCTCCCAAAATATCTACAGGTTATTTCAAAGGACAACCCAGACCACGTATGTAATTTTTATATCAATGGTACAAGGGAGAAGCATTTAATAAAGTCTCAAGATACAATGCAGAATAAATGCTCCAAGAGGAAGCAGGAAGGACTTGTTTTATCACTTAGGGTCTGCTTTCCCTCCACTGTGACCAAAGCCTAGACAGTCTCTTTTCATGTGGCCTGTCTTTTAGTCTGAAACAAGTTGGACTTCTAAGTGCATCATCCATCTCAGAGGAGCTGGTAATGGGTCAGGCCAAGGAAAGAAGAACAAGTATCAGTTTTCAGTGGGACATCCAGTTCTTAAGAGTGTTTCAGTCATTCAGTCAGACCGAGTGAGGACAGCAAAAGGTTAGTAAGAGATTAGTGCTTCTGTACCTGCTTTAAAGCTCAGCTCATCAGCCTCCTGTCCTGTGTAATCATAGAGCGCTCGTACCCGGACACCTGGTACCTTTATGTCCTCCTCATGCCCGTTGGCATCCAGGCACTTCTTGGGAGTGTCCTCATCTGACCACTCGGAAATGTCTTCCTTCCCTCCGCTTTGTACGTGGAAAGCAAGAGGGGACAAGATGGTTGTTAGTAGACTCTCACCCGCCTGCTCCTGAATCATGCACTACACCACCCCCTATAGAACAGGGCGCAAGAGGCCCAACAGCCAAGTGAGGGTGAAAAGGAAGCAGAGATCCCAGAAGATACCACATTTGGTTGAAAGCATCCCAGCATTAGAGCTCTGAGGGCCAGGAGGGTAACTCACTCAAAGTATTTTCACACATGCACACTCTTCATGATTCTCATCCTACTCTAGCAGACCCTCTCACACAAAGAAGGCCAATCCTAACTGGAGAGCCCAGCTACATCCAGAGTTATTTCAGTGTTAAATAAGACAGAGAGGAAAAGCCATGTTTCCCATCCTGAAGAGATGTCTGGAATGATGTTTTCCAAGTCAGGGAGAAGAGCTGAGGGAAAAAGCAGCAGAGGACAGACACCTGGAACCCAAAAAAACCCTGAAGATGCTATGTTCCATACTAACTTTGCATGGCTGGATGATTTCAGGGTGTCATAGAAGAGGCTGTTCTGCTCCTCTTGATAGGAAAACCTGCAGATTGGCAAATAGGGCCCCTGAATCCAATTGACTGTGATATACAGTAGTAGCCTGAGAAGTCTCTATATCCCTATTCTTTCTTGTTCAGTTCACTTAGGCCAGAGTTCACCTTTTAAAGGAGGATGGCTACTGGAACAGTAGCATGAGTCTGTTCAGCCTCTCCCTATTCTCCAGCTTGCTTCCTGGCAAGGGAAGCAGCTATACCCAGACTTGTCAGGCAGGACTTAGCACCATGCCAGGCAAAACACAACAACAAAAAAATCTGATGCCTGCATTTAGGAAACCACACAGCTAACTGGCAAAGCTGCCAGTTCCTAACTCTTCTCACCCTGTCTGGGAGAAAGACTAATTGGGGAAATTCATGCCAGAATCTCACACAGCATTAGTCTGACTGAGCTAAATCTCTTCACTAGAAGGATCTTTAAAAGGCAGGCACCTTGTGAGGCAGTATATACTAGACAAAGAAAACCAACAAAACAAGCCAAACCCAAATCCAAACAGCTGCCCTAAACTGTCTTTTCTACCTGGTCTTTTCCAGTGTGGCATGGGCAAGAGACAGGAAATTAAGAAGAGATCACTCCTATCAATCCAGCTCATTCATGATCCTAGGCAGGACTATACTTTTCCTAACCTGATGTATCCTAGGCTTTGGCCCTTACCTTTGCCTTGTCTGCAGAGGGGTCTGTGAGACAACACCATCTCGTGCAGGCAAAATGCTGGTCAGCGTGACGTCGTCAGCCATCTTGCCACTCTTCTCCTTCTTGGTGATTTGTCGCTGTGTTTCCAGGGACCACTCCTGCCCAGGGAAAAGCAATGACACCATCAAACCACTCAGATAGAAAAGCTCTGCGTAACTTTTCTACCCAATGCAGAAGGGCAGAAGACCAGGCAATACTTCAGTAGCAGCTGAGCTGGTCAGCCCAATGGCCTTGCTGCCATAGGAGAATCACTCTGTTGCATCCCAAGGTGCAACAAGAGGGACTATGAGAAAATTATCACAGGAACTTGTCCCAGCATCCTGAGCACCAACTCCTGTTCTCTGACCTTGCAGATAGATGGCTGGAGTATTTATTTGCAGTTTGGCAAGGTTGCTTATTTCCCTCTGGGCACCAGACAGTTTGTAACACAACAAAAATTGTAGAAGAGCCTAACATCCTGAGCCTGCTGAGCACAGACATAGTCTTCCCAACACAAGACTAGTAATCTGCCAATTTCAGTAAAGCATCTGATTGTTTGGAAAAGACACCCTAGAATGCTACATCACCTCAAACTGAGGCCAATTCATCGCCATGCCTGGTCCATGAGTGTTACGCCACCACTTCAGGTCCTCCTGGTTGTCTGCAGCCATGATGACTTGGTGGAGATCTCGATACAATGCATGAAAGCTACGACCAGGAACAGACAAAACCACCAGTAACCAAGTCCCTCAGCAGTTTCCCAAAAGCCAAGTAGGAAGGAAGAGATTAACCTCATGCACAATTACATAGTATCCTAAATCCCACAGGATTAAGGATGCTAGAGCAGCACCTGTTCAGCCCTAGGAAAACACAGCCACCCTTACAGAAGGGTCAGCCTGGCAAACAGGACAGACTTGTTTCATATGGCAGTGGCTGACATCTGCCAGCTCTCAGCACAGCTCATTAAGTGAGCACTGAAAGAACTTGGCACTATCTTGCACACAGACAGGGAGGTAGCTCAGATTTGTTGCCTCTACCTTAAAAGTGTAAGAGCACAGAAGATTTTTGGCTGCACCTATTTCCCCTCTGTAACTCCTACTCAAGGGCAAGTTGTAGGCTTACAGTTATTATTTCACAAAAGGTCTCTTTACTGATAACAAAACGGGTGGAATAACTATAGATACTAGAAGGCAACAGAGGTGTATTCCTCACACTGGAATTATATATAGCAACATGGAGGCATTTCATGGAATACAAACACACCCACAGGACAGTACTGGACAGTAGCGAAAGTAAAAGGGTTCAAAGGCAGAAAATCCTCTCTGGGGAGCCTGGCACTGCCCATGATCAGAGATACCAGCACTGGTCAGTCTAAAAGGACTAAATATCAGTTAAGACATATTTGAAAGGGGAAGGAGCGAGACCTGGCAGATACAAGCAGGTAGCTCCGTTTCAGAGACCCCATAATTGACACCCCCCCCCCCAAAATTTCCCCCCCCCCCCCCAGAGCCTAGGGCACTCCAGGCTGGCAGAAGTCTCTCCTGTATCATGGCCAGTACCTTTCACTGGTGGAGAGGTTGAGATGCTGGTGCAGATTCAGGAACATCTCCTTAAAGAAGCACAGTCGCTTGCGCTCTGCCTCCTGACAGCCCTCAAACACTTGCTCCATGTCCTCCATGTAGCGGGGATTATAGCGGCAGCTCTTCCAGCATCTTCTCATATTGATCCTTGCACTGTACCAACCCAGGAGGACAGTAATGGTGAGATGTGTTGCCCTGATATCAAACCAGTGACACTCCTACTCTGGCTTGGGACTGACAAGTTTTTTCCCCCTGCATTGCTGAACAAACACACCAAAAAAAAGAAGAAATCCCACAGCTGGTGTCCCAGTCCACTGCTCTTCTAATAGTCTTGCAAGTTTCCTGTTCTTCCTTGTTACTTTCTTCCATAGAGGACCTTTTACTCTTGTAGGGAAGCAAATCAGCTACTTTGAGTAGCTAAGTCTTCAGCTCTACAGCTTCCACCCCCTGCACTAAATCCCCTATGCTTTCTTCCTTTTTTATTTTAAATTTACTTACCTAACTCCGAAGACAGAGAAATACCTTAGTCTAGCTTACTAAAAGCTCAGAAAATGGGATCTCACACCTTCTTACAGGCTTCAGCAGAAGCCATTTTGGAGTGACTAGTGCTTTTTCCTTAAAAGGAGTATCCTTGTGACCCACATCCATACAACACACACTCACCTTCTCAGCCTCCTGAGTGCACTTCTCTACACGCTCCTGCAACTTGCGCAGCTGTTCCTGCGAGATAGATGAGTCAGCCTTGGCATGGTTCTCCCGTGTATGGGCTGTTTTCTCCTCCTTACGGGCTGTGTGATAGTTTCTCTTAGAAGTCTCCACCTGTAGGAGGAGGGATGCAGAGAAAGCCATGATCATACCCGTGGTGATCCTCCGGTACTCAGAGAAGACATGTTAACATTTGTTACAGTCTGCAGCAGCCTAGTAGAAATGCCAATTTGGCATTTAGTAAACAATGCCTCAGTGGGAAGAGGTACTTTCAAATGATCCTTTTTTCAATGCTCACCTGCTGTGCAGGAACTACAGAGCCTGTTACCAAAGTCTTCCCATGCGGGAAGGAAGTTATAAAAGCACAAGAACATGAGACCATAGAGATATCCCTCCCTCCCTGGATTTCTCTGCTACTCTGGATAAGCCCAGTTTGTTTGCCAGTGGCTCTTGCAATCAGGCAGCCAAGCTCAACTGCCCTTCTCTCCCCTTCCCTATTTACACTCTGCTCACGTCTTTCATCTTCTTCACCCAGGGTTTCTGGGCCTTGCGGAACCCATCCTCTGCGTCCTTCGTTTCCTTGAAGCCTCCAATCATCTGCTTGTGGTAGGCCTCCTTCTGCCAGGCCTTGATCTTATCTGAGTCTTCACCAGCCAGGTGGTTCCGGACATCTAAATGAATTTCACTCAGTCTGTCTGCAGCTGTCAGGAAGGCATGCCAGGCCTTTTCCAGAGTACCATACTGTGGACCTGCAGGCACAAGGACCAGAGGGGCTCTTATATCTCCTGCCCACAGAAGGGAATGCAGATTCTTTTCCTCCTACATACATCTACCAGTACAGAGCCACTGCCTTAACTCTTCCCCCATCTAGACTGTCTGTTACAGCTGGCTGAGATGGGCATTTCTTTTGGGCAGCCTTAGCTGTCCCAGATGGTGACTGCTAGAAGAAGGTTTCTGTAGAAAAGTCTCCCACATATCTGGCCTGAGCTTCAGGACAGATAGCAACACTAGTTCATGACTGAAGCTAAGTTTCTGCTCCACGGACCAATAGGTCGTTTGGGACATCTGTCCTGCTGTTTCCTGTTACTTTGTGAGACACTATCAGTTTGAGCACACTCAACTAAATCACAGCATTAGTAGTTATTCTCTGACTGGAGAAGACACAGCCGAGCCATCCTTAAAAGGGGATATCTGCAGCTTGATTTAAGACGTGGAATGCCCAAGGACTTGCCGAACTAAGAAAACAGATTTATTTTTTTCTGTAACCAAACCTTCCAAGGTGCCATGCAGCAAACACCTCCCCAGGAGAATCAGAGGACTGACTACAAAAACAGACATGCAAAAAGACACCCAAGAAAGTAACCCCCTTCTTGGGTCTGTCCCTCGCAAGGAAACAGTGCCAGTAGGAGATTGTACTCAAGGAAGAGAGTGCAACGATTCCTTCCTGTTCCCAGCTCAATCTGCCAACTTTACCTCTCTCCACATTGGTCCTCCACTTGCGGGACCACTCGGTTAGCTGCTGGGCATAGTTCTTTTCTATCTTGGCTCGCTCCTGGAAGCAGGAGATTAAGTCATTGCAGAGCCGGTATCCATCATCCACACGCTTCACTGTCCGCTTGTAGTTTCCAGCCTGAAATTTCACACATTACCTGTTATACTGTACTGACTTTCATGTTCCTTCAGAACAGAAAGCAGCAGGTCAATCACTGCATGGGGAGACAGCACAGATGCTTCTGAAGTCAGCAGCTGGGCTCAGACCCTCCTCTGGCACTCTCTCAGGCAGACACAGCATTGGAGGGAAGAGGCTGAGATGCTTTGCTTGCTTCTTTCACAGCTCAGAGCAGCATCAAACAAACAAGGAACTATCACTCCTCAACATCTGTGGGAGAAAGGGTCACCTCCTCCCTCCAGTAACACACACTGTGATACTGAACCTCCCCACAGTTCCTCCCTTCCACTCCCCAAGGGCAACATGTCATCAACAAACCTGGAACTCAACCCCGTAATTCCACTGATGGGTGGTAACATGACATTCCTACCTCCCTCACACTCCAATTATCCTTCCTTACCTCCCAGAAACTGCCCCCAGGAGCCTCCCCGCCAGCATCATCTTCTGATGACATTGCCCCCGTTTTCTTGCAGCAAGGAATTTTTGCAGGTTTCGGTGAATCTGAGAAGATATAAAGATGATTTCAAACACAGCACTGGCTGAGCCTTTGCAGAAAGCACAGTTCTCCATGACTTTAGAAGCTGGGGGAACCCAGTTTGCTGCCTAGCAGTCAGGTACTGGCATCACTGCCCCTCCAGCTGCAGATGGCTAGATTCAGCAGAGATGCCGAGGACTGAACCAGCCTCCTCCTCCCTCCCTGCAGACAGGAGGGTTTCTTGGCAGGCCTGTAATACATTGGGAAAGGATGTTGTAAAACACAATCTTGCCAAACCTCAGCTACAGATATTTGAGATGCTAGTGAATCCAACACTCTTCAGCAGCATCAGGTATCTCTGCAGAAATTTCTTTCTTAACTAAGGCCTTCAAGAGAAACTGAGGCAGCTAAAGCTGTTTGAATTCTGCCTTGAAAGACTTTAAGTCAGTCTTCTGTCTATGGATGACTCTAGCTTCCCAGTATGACTCAGGATTACAGGATTACAACGAATGACTGGAGAAAACAAGGCTGAGCAGTCAGCAGGCAGGCATGTCTTGAATGGGGAGGAGCCCTATAAGCTGCCCACCAGCTGAGCTGCGTTTCAGCAGAACTACAAAAACATGTTGGTGCATACCCAGCCAAACGGCATTGCAGCACACGTGCCTGTTACCCACCAGCACAGCTTCCCTAGAAACATCCCTGCACAGCTGGTGCTTTCACTACACTCAGGTCTCACTGCATTAGGCTCAAAATCTAGGCTGGAAGGTAAAAGGCTCATCTCATTCTCTGCTGTCTCAGAACTTTTGCCCATTCCCCTGTGTTAGCCTGCACTGCTAGTTTGTTTCTGACATGGTGCAACACTATAAATTCCTCAGGGGAGAGGTTCAGGTTTGTTCTTGTGCAGGAATGAGAGAGGGAGCAACAGAAAGACCCAAGCCCAGTCATTTGCTCACAAACCCAGGCCATTCTAGGCAAGCCTAGATTAATGTAGCATACATGTCCTTTGCTGCCACTTCTCCTCTTGCACATTCCTAGTTATAAAAAGCTTCCCTCACACCCCAGAGAGGTATCTGCTCATTCTGCCAGCCCCCAGAGCACACAGCAGGGATGAAGATCAGGTCAAGGGTCCCCATCTCCCACCTCCTGCAAATTCTTCTCAGTGGCATGAGCCACACAGTAAAGCACCCCAACACAGACAGCAGTAATTTGCAACATTTGGCTCTGTTTGCCCAGAGTCATCCCTTGGAGTATGTCAGAAGCATATTAATGCTGTTCTTCCAGGATTCTTCAGAAGGCTGGAAGTGCTGAATTTCACTTACTGAAGCAAGCTGGTAAATGAGATATGACATTCAGGTGCACAAACCTTGAAAAATGACAAATACCTCCTCTGATGCCACCAACTGTCCCAGTCCTCCCTCCCTGCCGTTTGTCAGCAGGCTGCAAAGCCATCCTATGTGCCCCCAGGGCATACAATTCTACTCCTGCCCCCAGTAACTACATACCTGAAAGCTGAAAGCCAGACGGCTGCAGTGGAGCAGTGGGCAGCTGGCAACTATGTCTCAAGCTCTTGAAAAACTCTGCGAAAAAAGACTGGAGGAGACAGAGATGGGCACGGTCAGACACTCCTTTGCAAGGATGAACCTGTTCTGATGCATTGCAGTCCTAGGGGTGTCCCCCTTCTACCAGCTACTTAGGAGGGGCACCCACTGATATAGCAGCTGCAGCCACCATGCCTTCCAAGGTGCCATGTTCCAGCACATAGGAATGGTGCCAAATCCTTGTGTCACAAGATCTAGCCCCAGAGAGAGTTAAAATAGAAACACTGGGGCAGCATGGCAGCTCTGTGCAGGAAAGGTAACATCACAACAGCTGAGCACAGGGAACAGCCTGGGCTAGAAAGGCCTAAAATAAGCACACTTCCCAGGCACCCTGTGTGGGGCCTGGTCCTCCCTCCCTCTGCAATTTAGCAAACCCCACTGCCTCCATGCACTGCTGCACACACTTTTACAAATAGCTTTGGGAGAAAAAAAAAGGGAAGGACACATACACATACCTTCTCCAGCCCCTTTTAACTAAAGATAAAGAGGATTTATGCACAAGATAAAAGACTTGATAACTCTTCATTTAAAAAAAAAAACAAAACCCCAAACCCAAAACTTACCAGAATGCATATTCTGGTCTAGAGTCCTTTTAGTAGCAGAACACCTAGCACTGCCCTGGTAGGATGTGGCTCTCTACCAGAAGAGCTTTTTTGTTCCTTGGTTCTGTAGCTTTTCCCATCACATTCTCAAAAATACTTTATTTCATCATTATGGTACATGTAACTGGGATCAACTTTCCACAGAGCAAAGAGAAGTTAAAACTCTACAGAGGCTAAGGGCAGAACAAGGCATTTTTGTTTACCTCACATTTACTTCCCTGAGGATTTACTTCAATGTAAGAAGTGTATTTATTGCAAACAGACTAGTGACCTTTGGTGAGGAGGGGGTTTAGGGGGAAGAGTTAGGACTCTGTTGTATAGTCCAGGTCACTGCATAAAATGCTGAAGCTCATCACAAAACTTCTCAGGCTTCCCAGTGGTCCCCAGTAAAACCAGACTACACATTCCTGAAATTGCTAAGATTAAAAAAACTTCATGAACAGTTATGTAAAAGTATATTTTAAACTGTCCCCCAGACTCTTCCTTTCTTTCTCCTGATGATCAATTATACATGACACATGAAGTCTGTATCACTTTTTCCACACCACTCCCCTGTCCCCACTTTATCAGGAAGCACTGAATCACAAACATGCCTTTCATCTCTTATTTCCAATACAAGCTGACTACATAGTGCTAGAATTTGAGGGGTGTATGTGGAAAGCTGTTGTGTGTCAGTGTGTGCTGAGTGACAGGCAAAAAAAATAATCCCCAAACCTGAATTCATTCTTTCTGGAGCTATACCCACTTACTTTCTCAGGAGTTACAAACTCAAATAACCAGATTTACTATAAGACCAACGAGCTCTGAACATAATAGTAGCTGTGCTGGGTCAGACCGAGGTTTATTGTGGCCTCGTAGCCTCTATAGACAGCAGCCAAAAGCAGATACCTTCCCTCACTTTGAGAGCAGAGCAAGCATATGATGCCTCCCTGCACACTCTTTAAGCCTCTAACCATTTGCTGACAGGAACTCCCTGAGCTGGATGAGGCACCTATGAGTGAACACTCAATGGATTTCTCTCCATTAATTTCTTCAATCTGCTTTTGAATTCACGTGAGTTTTCAGCATCCACAATAGCATGTGGTAAAGTATTCTACAACCTAAGGCTATACTGTAGTTATCAGCACAGTAGCTAGGTGGGAGAATATATAAGTAGTATATTTCTACAGGCTAATCTCCGTGTCTTGAGTAGCAGCCAGTTGAGTACATATTTCCATAGCAGTTGTATAGACTTTATAGAAGTCCAGAAAAATCTATCTTGGTAGAAGCAAAAAGGTCAAAGAACAAGGAGGACCCTTTTTTGCCAGGCTTTTTCTGGACTTTACATACTCCATGAACCCATGTCAGTCAGCAGATCAAATTGGATCTGCATGCAGACACAGGGAGGATACGTGGTACTGCACAGAGGCTGAACAACAGCTGCTGCTGTCACCCTGAGCCCTAGAAGAGCAAGTAGATTGCCAGTCCACCCCTTCATGCCTGTCTATTCCTGAAACACCACATGTTGTGAGCCACCAAGAACCTGAGACAAGGGAAAATCTGAGTTTTACAGGAAAAGCAAATATATTTGTTACACATGCCAAAGGCTGGAGGTGGAGATGACAGGGATACCTGATACAGCAAGAGTCACCAAATGATTCATGAAAGCTGGCAGAGCCTGTACAGTATGAGCAATGTAGCTGGAGTTAGATTGGGTCAACTAGGGTTTTATGTGTGTTGGTACCACATAACAGACTCCTCCTGATGCCACTGCCACCTCTGCTAAGAGGAGGCTATCTAGCAAATCATATTTGCAGGGCAAAGGAATGTTTATCCCTACCTTCCAACCTGTCTCTATCAGCTCTCAAGCTCTCACAGTTATGGGCTACTTAAGACTCACTGCAGCTCCTGCAAAACAAGCTTTCTGAAGAAAGAGGGCAAGAGTGACTACATCGCTCTTCATTTCACATCTCCACAGGATTATGCATAAAGGCATCACAGACCAGCAACATCAGGCAAACTGAATCATGGAATTAAGATTTCTGCAGCTATGAGCTACAACCATTTCTCCTAGTGGTGTTAGAAAAGGTACTTTCCTCCTTCCCCCAAATACCTGCTCTCACTTAGGGACCAACATAATTATTAGGCCACACCTGCCATCAACTCCCTATTACGTTATCAAAAAATGGCTCTTGATCTTTAGCTGCAGAAAGGTGGAATGGCTCCTGATTGCCTCCCTGGTACTGAGCTCCAACTCAGGAAAATGCTAGCAGGCTTCTCATGACAGATCTGTTTGTACCTTTAAATGATGTTATTAATCTCACCCCGGTCCAGTCAGGGACAAGGTGTCAGACTAAAACCTTCCCTTTCAAAACACATCTGAACCTGTCAATGCACTACAAGGTGTGCCTTTTGTTTCAGGCTTGTACAACATCAGTGCAAGTGTCCTGATCCACAAAGAAAACTTCTAGATCAATAGTAATAATAGCTCTTCTCCACTGAAAGCTTTACCTAAGGCAGGTAAACCGTGGAAATCCTCTTCCATCTACACCACATTACAATAATTCCAACTTCCAAGTGCCCAAGGCATCACTTCTGTGCATTGTCTGACTGCCTCCTGAGATTCCTTGTGAGCAATTGTTTTCCTAAGTTTGCCTAGTTCAAGCCTCTAAACTCTACAAATGCTCAAAGGGATGGTGCATGCAGCCCTGCAAAAATTCATCCACAGAAACAGAGCTTGTACACACAAGGCCTTCTGCCCAACTCCTCTTCCCTTTTCCAACTGCAACAGCAAATGCTGGATGCAGACACATGCAGGAACAAGTTGAGCTATGTTTAT